TACCAGGGGTTTGATCTTATATAAGCCACTTCCTCTTTCTAAACTCGAATTCCTCACCTGCTTTAAAAAACAGCAGTAATACTAATTGTGCTTGTCTTATAATCTGAAAAGTTAGTGAAATCTCACAAATAACTTAAATAGTAAAGCCTTAATAAAGCCCTTAATAAAAAAGGATATGATAGGGGCTGGGAAAGTAGCTCAGTGGTAGAGTGCATGCCTTGCAAGCATGAGGCCCTGGGTTCGATTCCTCAGCACCACATAAACAGAAAAAGCCAGAAGTGGCGCTGTGGCTCCAGTGGTAGAGCACTAGCCTTGAGCTGAAGAGCTGAGGGACAGCGCCCAGACCCAGAGTTCAGGCCCCATGACCGGCAAAAAAAAAAAGCATATGATAAATTTCCTTGATAATTATAAGTATTTTTTTAACCAGGAAGAAAACCTATGATTATCAAGCCTGTCCCATCCAACAATTAGGAAGATAAAGAAATTTGAGGGCTGGGAAGGTGGCTCAGTGGTAGAGCGCCTACCTTGCATTCCTGAGGCCCTGGGTTCGATTCCTCAGTACCACATAAGCAAAAAGAAAAAAGCCGGAAGTGGCGCTGTGGCTCAAGTGGTAGGGCTCAGGCCTTGAGCTGAAGAGCTGAAGGACAGCGCCCAGGCCCAGAGTTCAGGCCCCACAACCAGACCCCCAAGAAAAAAAAAAAAGAAATTTGACTTTACAGATAACTCTAGTCTAGAAAAGAACTAACATATTAAATAGCTGAATCAAGCTAATGATAAGTTTATGATGATTATCTTGACAAACTTAAGAAAGTTAATAGGGATGGTAGGGGAAAAACAAAGGAGAAGGCAACAATGCTTGATAAGAAATGTACTCATTACCTTGTTCATGTAACTGTAACCTCTGTACAGTATTTTCACAATATAAAACTTATTTAAAAAAATTAATAGGAATAAATGTGAAATCTTCTCCTTAATTCTATTTTTTTGGGGGGTGTCCGGGTCATGGGGCCTGAACTCTGGGCCTGGGCACTGTCCTTCAACTCTTCAGCTCAAGGCTAGCGCTCTACCACTTGAGCCACAGCGCCACTTCCGGCTTTTTTCTTTTTGCTTATGTGGTGCTGAGGAATCGAACCCAGGGCCTCAGGCATGCAAGACAAGCACTCTACCACTGAGCCACCTTCCCAGCCCTCTCCTTAATTCTAAGCAGTTGATTGTACATGTTTAAAAGAACTTTGAAAACTGACTTAGAGATCCATTTGAGCAATGTAATAAAGATGCAAAAAAAAAAAAAAACAGGAAGAAACAAAGCCACTAGTGTGTTTGCTACATAAGAGCATATATTGATACCGTATTCTATCCCAAACAGTGCAATTTAGTAAAAACATCAGTCAACTGAGGCAATAATCAGGATAATGAATGCTTGTAAACTATAAGAAGGAATTAATAGTGACACTTTTAACCTGAAAAAGTTCTTCCTGACAGTGTACTCAACTTTTACTGTCATTCATTACTTCATTTATACTTGTATCACTTTTAACTTTTAGACTCATCTTCAGCTATCTGAAAATATATAGGATATAAATTGGTTTTATTTGGGAAGGTTCAATTTGGAAGGACTAGCTTTAGGAGTTCAGGTTTGCACATAATGTTCTAATGATTGGGGAGTTGTTTGGGGTTTGTTGGTTTTTTTTTTTTTTCATTTGTTTGTTTTGTGAGCCAGTACTGGAATTTGAACTCAGGATGTGGGTGCTGTCCTTTAGCTTATTCCACTTAAAGGATGGTGCTTTACCACGTAAGCTATTTTTTTGGTGGTTAATTGGAGATTAGAGTTTCATAGGCTTTCCTGCCTGGGGTGGCTTCTCTGAGATCTGAGATTCTCAGATCTCAGCCTCTTGGGTACCTAGGATTATACGTGTGAGCCACCAGCACGCAGCTTTAATGATTGTCATACTTTAAAAGTAGAATGAGCTAATTTGTGAACTATTAAAATCTATAACCTTAAAACTGAGGAAAGACAGGCTGTTTATAACTTTGGGATAATGCAAAGGGAAAATACTCCCTTAAGGTCTCTTCAATATTAAAATTCTGTAATATATGAAGGACTTAAATCTTACACACACTGAGTTTCATTTCATAATCTTTGTAAATGAATAGTGGTAATCTATAGCCTATGTTACTTTGGATTTCAAGATGACTTAGTAGTAGTTGAAGTGAATTTGGAAGAGTTGTTGCCAGTCATTTTATTAGACTTATTCCATGAATTCAGAAGTTTTTTTCAGAATGAATTGTCATTTGGGTCTAAACATATGTAAATAAGACATCTTCTGAGAATTTTCAGAGTATAGAAAAATCTATTGACAATACATAAAATAAATACAAAATGCTATATAAGGTATACTTGAAATATCTATTAATTTTTAATCATTAAAAACAATTCTTTTGAGCCTAGTGTTGTTGTCTCACACCTATAATCCAAGCTACTCAGGAGGCTTAGGTCTGAGAATTAAGGTTCAAAGCCAGACCAGTCAGGAAAGTCCATGGGACTATTATCTCCAGTTAACCACCCAGAAAACCAGAAGTTCAAGATGTGGCTCAAAAGTGGTAGATCACTAGCCTTGAGCAAAAGAGCTTGGTCCCTGAGTTCAAGCCCTACAACTGACAAAAATAAAAATCATTCTTTCAATAGTATTTCAGAAATTCCCAATAGCCAGGCACCAGTAGCTCACACCTATAATCCTAGCTACTAAGGAGGCTGAGATCTGGGGATCTTGGTTGAAGTCAACTCAGGCAGGAAGGTCCATGAGACTGCTGTTTTCAATCAACCAACAAAATATTGGAAATGGAATTGTGGCTCAAGTAGTAGAACATTAGCATTAAGCAGAAAAGCTAAAAGGCAGCACTCAGATCCTGAGTTCAAGCCCCAGTATCAGTACGGACTGGCTCACACACACAACTCTCAAGGTAAAAATTAAAAAATAACTATAATTTTTGTGTAATTATTGTATATCAGATTTTAACAATAAAAAAACACTTTTTAAATGCCCCATCATGACACAGCCTTCAGTAATTATGTTTTCAGCATTGAAATTTCAGTGACAAAATTTTCCCAAAACTTTTTCACTTAAGTATTTGAACATGTTTAGAATGACTTTTTATTTTGTACATGGCTCATTGCCAAAAACTTTCATTACAGGTTCTTGGCAAAAATGTGTCTTCTTTTCTATGCAACTTCTGTAACATCCTTTTAATACTTTAGGAAAGATACTTAACAAGCTTTGGTTATAAGATAAAAATACAGTACCTCTTTTCCCCTCTTGTTTCTTTAGATAAGTAGACACTAGAAATTACAGATAGTTTTGGCAAGAGTTCAAGGGTTAATGTAGCAGATAAATAAAAGGAATTTTCTGTAAATTGAGACCTGCATTATTTCAGTTGTCTTGTCTTTCCTAACCTAACTCATTTAATTTTAAAAAGTAAATACTTAAATTCTTCCTGACAGTGTGCTCAGCTTTTACTATCGTTTATTACTTCAATTATACTTGATATCACTTAGAACAATCTGCCATTTGGAAATCTTAGTATAGCCCGGAGCTTAGTATTAGATCTGGCTGCTATTGTAACATGTACAGCATATGACATTAATGTATCAAAATTAGATTGGATCATCCCTCCTGGTTAAATTTATTTCACATTTCTTTTGTATTCAGTTAACATAAACCTATTAGGGAAGCTGACACATGGAATGGCTGTATAGGAAGGATATTTTTAAAGTATTTTGATTAAAAAATGAAATTATGAAGCCATGGCTTTTCTGAGTTGTGTAATTTCTTTTTTGATTTTTAAAAATGTCACAAAGTCCAAGTCCTACATTTATATAATTTGTGTGTGTTATACACAAGTATAAGGAATTAACTCCAAGTTTAAGGAGAGACCCAAAAAACCCTTTCACTAGATGGACTTTGCCTCTCTCTCTATTTAAATCATATATTGGATTTTTGGGCTAACCTTTAGTCTTTAACATAAATTTTGTATTTGAAAAATGGAAATTATATACATTAGCTCTCAGTATAAATATCACTGACACTTATTACATCTGTCTTCCAAACTTCCATCTCCAATGTGTACAGTTACCTAAAAGTAACTTTTAAAAGCCTATGTAAGATGTAACTGTAACCTTCTGTATAATATCTTTACAATAAAAAATTTTTTTTAAAGCCTATGTAAGATATGTACCAAAATTAGACTTAAATGGTTGTATTCATTGTCTACTGATGATGAAAATTTATAATAAAACCAGGCTTATACATTACTCTCCAAGAAGAAAGCTTAAGAATAATGGACATTGAGTTCATTTTTTATTAATTCACTAGAAATCCAATTTTTAATGTCTTTTTAGTTTTATCATAACATTAACTTTTGCCATAACCAACAGTATAAGTACTACCAGATACCTAATTTACATTTTGAGCTTCCAGAAGAACTCAAGAGCTCTGTTTGAAGGAAATTCTAAGTTTTTTATTTTTTTTTTGGAAATTCTAAGTTTTTATAGGCAAGGAAACCTGGAAGTTAATTTGTTGAAGCTTTTTTTTCCAGTTTATAAGTGATTATCCAAATTTTTAATAATCTTTTTCATTTTTCTTCTGGTTGACTTTTTCAGGCCACATCACTGCTTATTAGTACGTCCAGAGAGTGATCAGAAAAAAAAATGTCAAATCAGTCACTCTTTTAAACAGCCTTCTGAAAGGTTTGGTAGTAGAAAATTGATGCAGTTACTAGTTTAGAACAGTGGACTTATCTAAGTTCTGTCTGTTTCTCACTGACTGGATAGTCGAAATTATCTGGTCTTTTTCAATGTCTCCTTAATGTCTTTGAGTGTGCATCAGTGAAAATGATCAAATGAAATTTAAACTTTTTTTAACTTTTGTTCTTTATGATATATTGTCACTATATAACTATACTCACGGAGCTTTTGTAAAGCATTTATTTTTCTTCTTTTCCAGTTAAGACATTTAGGAAATGACGAAGTGCATATTGTTTGGTCAGAGCATACTAGAGACTATAGGAGAGGAATTATCCCTACAGAATTTGGTGATGTCCTAATTATAATATATCCAATGAAAAATCATATGTTCAGCATCCAAATCATGAAAAAACCAGAGGTAAGAACTCCTTAGCTTCCATACTAGTAATATTTTTGAATTATCTTGAAGTGTATATTTGTGGGTTCTTTCCATACTATAGGAAAAAATTATACCAGGCATCAAGTTTTCAAAATGGGAAGGAATTACAACACAGATTCTGGCAGCTAGAAAGATTCTATTAAGTCTGGTTCTGGAGGTGTTAGAATAAATAACAAGAAATTGTGCTCAAATGAAAAATGCTAAGTAAATTATGAGTAAAAGTGCCTTTGTACTATCATCATAAAAGGACTTACCTTCTAATTAGAGAATTACTACTATTCCCGAAAGATACAATAAGAAATAATCATTGTCATTAGACTAGGGAATGATTTCTATATTATGACATATGATTCCTATGTTAATAAATAAGAACCTTGCAAATTCATAACAAAAGAATTAAAACATCTATTGTAAAAGTATTTTCTTTCAAGGTAAGAATTAGAGGCTCATGCTTATAATCTTAGCTACTCAAGGGGCTGAGATCTGAGAATTATGACTCAAAACCAGCCCAGACAGGAAAGTCCATGAGACTTTTATCTCCAGTTAACCACTAAAAAGCTAGAAGTAGAGCTGTGGCTCAAGTGGCAGAGAATTAGCCTTGAGCACAGAAGCTCAGGGACAGTACTGAAGTGCTGAGTTTAAGCCCCAGGGTCAGAAGGAAAAAAAGGAAGTGTTTATTTTGGCTCAGTTACAGGGGGCTCAGACCATGGTCACATATTTCTGGGCAAGTAGTACATTATGACAGAAGGAAGGGTGTAGTAGAAGAAAGCAGCTCACTTTATGCCAACTAGAAAGCAAAGGGAAGAAGGGAAAAGGGATAAGGCATACCCTTCAATGGCATGCCTCCAGTGGCCTATTTCCTCCAGTAAAGCCTCACTTCCGTTTTTACCAACTTCTCAATGTCATAAAATTATGCATCCATCAATAGATAAATCCATTGATTAGGTAAGAACCCTCATGATCAGTCCCAGTGCTCCATGTCTAAACATTGCATTGGAGACCAAACCTTTAACACCTGAGTTCAGAGAGCATTTTATGTGAAACATATTAACAATTATAAAGTTGGTATCTAATAGAAATAATGAAAAACCAACCTCCTGACAATAAAAATACATGTATTTTCCTTTATTTGTTCAATGGAGAGAAAAGAAATTTACTTCCAATGTTGTTGATTTGTATACATAATTAAAACTGTAGAAAACTGAAAATGGTCAGGTAGTATAAATTGTTTAGTCATTTACATGAAGCACATAGTTCTTTTAAATGGACATAATCTAGATATTGGTATTTGAGTTTGTTTATTGTCCTAGTATTTTTGTTAAAAGAAGAGGAAGCAAAAACACTTTCAGAGCCAGGCGCCAGTGGCTCAAGCCTATAATCCTAGCTACTCAGGAGGGTCACAATTTGAAGTCAGCCAGGGCAGGGAAGTTCAGGAGACTCTTATCTCCAATTAATCACAAAGAGCTGGAAGTGGCACTGTGGTTCAAGTAGTAGAAGGATAGCCTCTTGAGAAAAGGAGCTCAGTGACAGCACCTAGGCCCAGAGGTCAAGCCTCAGGACCTGCCAAAAAAAACCACTTTTAGATACTAGGTATCACTAGGTATCTTGATTACTCTTATTTACAGTCTTTCTTCAATTTGAATGTATAATTATGTACTAATTTCTCAGGTTCCCTTTTTTGGCCCGCTTTTTGATGGTGCTATTGTGAATGGAAAGGTTCTTCCCATTATGGTTCGATCAACAGCTATAAATGCAAGCCGTGCTCTGAAATCACTAATTCCATTGTATCAAAACTTGTATCCTTTTTTAAAATTATCATTTCTACTGCAATATATGTGTACTTTATGTGTTAAAGACCTTTGAATTTCTTTTTATTGATAATTAGTAAAATTTCTCGGTAAAGTGATTAAGTAGCTATGATACTTGAATGATGTATTTTCTTTGATATGCTTTTTTATTATTCTATAATTTGGGGATTGAACCCAGGACAAGCATCCTACCACTTGAAGTATACCACAAATCTTGTATTTTATTTTTGAGGTAGGGTTTCACTAACTTGTCAGGGCTATCCTTGAACTTGAGATCATCCTCCTCTCTGTAATCTGCAGGGATTCAGGTACATGCCACCATGTGCATGTATATTTTTATATATTTTTCACAAATACTAACCTTTTGATTAACTCATTAATGTCCCCAAAATGCAAACCGTGTACTTCTCTGAAGGTACAGAAATAACCAAAACAGTGTGAAGAATTCAGAATAGTGTATATGTGCTTTAAAAATGATGTGTGCAAGATATATAACAAGGAGACTTTCACTCAGCTGGAATGGATAATGGTATCCAGAAACTCTTTTGATGAATAAGTGTTATCATATTGGGTAGATTAAGAAGAGCCTTCAAACAGAGAGAATAACATAGAGATATGAAGCTATGAGAGGAAGCTATGGAAGGCTTAGAAGTCTAGTTTTGGAGACCAGATGGTCTGGACTTTGAGCTGAGCATATTATTTAACCTCTCTGGGCCCCAATTTACTCATCTATAAAAAGAGAATACTGTGGGATAATAATTCAGTATATGTAACAATGTATAAGTTCTTAAAATAGTGGCTGTCATACAATATGCACAAATAATCTTTTTCTTTTTTTTTTGTCATTCGTGGGGCTTGAACTCTGGGCTTGGGCGCTGTCCTTGCACTTTTCAGCTCAGGGTGAGTGCTCTACCACTTGAGCCATAGCACCATTTCCGGTTTTCTAGTGGTTTATTGGAGATAAGAGTTTCCTGGACTTTTCTGCCCAGGCTGGCTTTGAACCTCGATCCTCAGATCTCAGCCTCCTGAGTAGCTAGGATTACAGGCATGAGCCACCAGTGCCCAGTCAATAATCTTTTTTTTTTAATATGAAGTTTTTGCCATTTTATTCAGCCTGGTCTGGAGCTTATGAACCCAAATAATCTACCCTCAGCTTCCCAAGTAGCTGGTACTAAGGAACAAAATACTGTTAAGATTTAAAAAGAAGCGAGGTGTGCTAAAGCATACCAATAATCCCAGTACTTGGGAGGTTGAGGCAGGATGACTGAGAGTTCAAGGCCTTGTGAACAACATAACACCTCTTGGAAATTTAAAGAGATGGCTTAAATTGAACAGAATAGCTCAAGTGTTAGAGAGCCTGCCTGGAAAGCACAAGGCCCAGAGTTCAAACTTCAATACTGCCACCAATAATAATAATAATAATTTAAAGGAGGAATCTTTGAAAATCTTATGAAATGGATTTGTGATTATAATTTGGTGAATTGCTACATACAGTTTCTTCTTTTGATAAAATTGACTTTAGCATTCTGATTCCCATATTGTATATTCTGACACTATGAAATGGAATTACAGATATGTTAAATTAAGTTTAGTGACATATAAATGTTACAGATAAAAAATGTTACATATCTTTACTTGCACTTGAAATTATCACATTAATGAATGATATTATTAAGAATATAATTTGGCTGAGCCTCAGTGATTCACACCTGTAACCCTACCTACTTAGGAGGCTAGATCTGAGGATCACAGTTGGAAGCCAGCCAGGGCAGGAAAGTAAGAATGGAAGGGAGGCAGGAAGGGAGGAATGAATAAAGGAATTTCACTTCTGTTCTGCTTCTGACCTTAGTAAAGCCATCAAATTTCCTGGTTTGGAGGGGTTTTTTGTTTTTGTTTTTGCCAGTCCTGGGGCTTGAACTCAGGGCCTGAGCCCTGTCCCTGAGCTTCTTTTGCTCAAGGCTAGTACTCTGCCACTTGAGCCACAATGCCACTTTTGGCTTTTTCTGTTTGTGTTGCTGGGGAATGAAACCCAGGGCTTCATGCATGCTAGGCAAGCACTGTTATCACTAAGCCATATTCCCAGCCCTTGAATTTCTTTATTGCAGTAGTGCAGATCAAACACAGGTTATTGAGCATGCTAGGCAAGTTCTCTACCAGAGTTGTAACCCCACCGAAATCAGGCAATCTTTGAATACTACTTACTTTATCTATTAAAAAAAATGTTACTGGCTGGGATGTGGCTTAGTGGTAGAGTGCTTGCCTAGCTTGCATGAAACCCTGGGTTTGATTCCTCAGTACCACATAAACAAAAAACACCGGAAGTGGTGCTGTGTTCAGGTGGTGGAGTGTTAGCCTTGAGCAAATAAAAGCATAAGGACAGTGTCTAGGCCAGGCCCTGAGTTCAAGCCCCAGGACTGGCAAAAAGAGAGAGAGAGAGAGAGAGAAAGCTGTTACTACCCATCTCAGAATTTGTGTAAAGATTAAATAGCCTACTGAATTTGGATGTGCTTAATAGTCGTAATGAGCTACATTATTTTGTGTAATAATTTCTCATACGTGTAAAAGTTATATTCTATTTTTAAAAATAACACCCAATACCAAGAATTGCCTGCTTGGGATTTTTGTTTTTGACTCATTAGCAGATTATTTGATTGGGTTACATTCTCAAACCTAGATTATGACATTTTCTGTAGGGGTGGGGGGTCTGGTCATGGGGCCTGAACTCTGGGCCTGGGCGCTGTCCCTCAGCTCTTCAGCTCAAGGCTAGCACTCTACCACTTGAGCCACAGCGCCACTTTTGGCTTTTTTCTTTTTTCTTATGTGGTGCTGAGGAATCAAACCCAGGGCCTCAGGCATGCAAGGCAAGCGCTCTACCACTGAGCCACCTTCCCAGCCCTACATTATGACATTTATAACAGTTAACCATGTTGAGACCTTAATATAAACCACATTAGAGAAAATTCTAGGATGAGAAGAGATTTCAGATGAAAATAGTAAACATGAAAACTTGTTTAAAAAGCAAACCAGAAGAATTTCTACCAGTTAAAATGCTTGTAGAACACTTATAGTAAAAATATTAAATCAGACCAAACAGATTTTTCTTGACTTGGAATCTTGAATTTGGAAACTATAGAAACTTTTCCCCTGTCGTATTTAGGTATAGTCATCCCTCTGTATCCGTGGTTCCAGATTCAAAAATTCAAATGTGCATGAAAAATATTGAAAAGATTTTTTTCTTTTTCCCTTAACAAAATAATGTATTATATTAACATGTACTTACATTTGGATAGGTATTACTATAAGTATTCTAGAGATGATTATAGTGTACAAGAGAATTATATTGGTTATATGCCAATGTCATCTACAGATACCAAGGGACAACTCCATATAGTTACAGATGCCCCTATCCCTTGTTATAGGGGCTTGAACTTAGGGTCTGGGTGCTGTCCCTGAGCTTTTTTACTCAAGGCTCTACTACTTTGAGCCACAGCTCCAATTTGGCTTTTTGTGGTTAATTGGAGTCCCACAGGGCCTTTTCTGCCTGGGCTGGCTTTGAACTTCGATCCTCAAATCTCAGCTTCCTAAGTAGCCAGGATTATAGGCATGAGCTATTGGCACCTGGCTGTCCCTATCCCTTTTAATATTAAGAATATATCATTTTTCACAAAGATACACAAAGTTCTCTATTCTAAATGTTGAGGAGTAGGGAGTGATAGCTGTAGCTATCACCTGTAGCTACCTGGAAGATTAAGCTGATAGGATCACTTGAGCCTAAGAGTTCGAAACTATCTTAGGCAACATAGAAACCTCATCTCAAAAGAATGAAGAAGGGAAAAAATGTTATAAGACAGTAACAGGTATATTACTCACTTTTTGTTTTATTGTTATTGTTTCTTGTACTAGGGATTGAACCCAGTACATATGCTGAGTGGGCAAGTAAGCACTCCATCACTAAGCAACATCCGTAACACTGTTTTGTTTTGTTTTTGTGACTATACTGGCACATGAACTCTGGGCCTGGGCATTATCACTTAACTATTTTCCTCAAGGCTAGCACTGTACCACATTAATTTTTCAGCCTTTCCTGCTGGGGCTGGCTTCGTACTGGGATCCTGAGATCCCAGCCTTCTGAGTAGCTAGGGTTACAGGTGTGAGCGACTAACACCCAACTCCCAACGCTTTTTTTTAATTTGTATGTTAATTTTGAAACAGGTTTTGAACTTGGCTGTCTCAGCTCCCAAGTAGCTGAAATTATAAGTATGCTCCACTATACTTGAGGATTACCTGCTTTTTAAATGAAAGTTTACATAGACACTTAAATTTACTAGACACTTAAATTTAGGAATACCTCTTCATTTGAATTAAGAAGTGATTTTAGAAATGTAATTTATCAAACTTGTGATAGAAGTAGAATTTTAAAATCACTAGTTAATATTTTATTCCTCGTAAATAAAATAAAAAAGTAAAAAATGGAATAAACTTAGTTATATTTGGGTAATTGTCCTGCTGGATCAATTATCTTATGTCAGTATTAGTGCCCACTAAGATTCCACAGCATAAATTGTTCTGTTTATGATCATTAAAAAGAGTTTAAAATTTATCCTGGGAACATCTTCTGTTCCTATGAATCTAATGTTGTTCACTAAATGAGGGCAGTATTGATTGTCATATGCTGCCCAAATCGATCATGCTGGCAACGAGAATTACAGTAATCTGTCAGCATTGATGACTGTCTTTCAAGCTTTGAAATCTCTCCTTTACTTGTCATTTCTTGTACTTGAAAAGCATTTTCATGCAACCTTAGATTTTTTTCTCAGCTAGGTACTTTTTTGTCTTGAGCTCAGTTTGTTGTTTGATCATGCAATTAGAATTGAAATGCAACACTGAGGAAAAAGACCAGACAGAATCTGGGTAACCACTGGATCAGAGGACTATTTCAGGTTTGCTCTTAGCCATCATTTTATTAGCTATCTACAAAGACTGTGTAT